CCAAGACTATCTGCAATAGCTTCAACAGGCATGTCGTTCACTGCTACAGCGTGTTTCACCTTTACCAGTGCTTCTTATTACTTGATATTTTTATAAGGAAGCCAGCAGCGTCCCTACACTCCATTACAGGTAGGGCTCTTACAGAGGCTCCTACTACATATCCTTCGTTATGGGCACCATTGTGTAGGTAGGGGCCTAGGCTGTGGAATACCAGGAAGCTGGCCGAGGCAGCTCGTCAGGAGCCCTCGTACCGTGACATATTTATTTCTTTAACCCATTCGTGACAATGTCAGCCACCGGTGGCTGACAAAGCTCTCACTCGGGACAATGGTATTACTGTGGCTGCAGGGCTTGAAATGGAATTTGGAAAGTTTTCTTCCATGGAAAGAATCTTCATACCCTCGCTCATCTACGCAGCCCTGGGCAGAGGGAATCTCCCTTCACTCGGATTTTATTGAAGAAAAATCTTCTGACGCTGCTGCTATTGCGCTCCTGCGAGGTCGCGAATTGATGGTTAAAGGGCACAACCCAGGCAGAGGTTTTTTATAACTCTTCTCTTCGGTCAGAAGTATAGAACCCTAGGGGACAATCACAAATGTGGCGTTCACGTGCACGGAATTCGACCGACAAGAACGCTTTGGGCTTGCAAAGTAAGCTGCTCGAGCTGCAGCGAACGAGCATCGTCTTAGTCAGGCGTCGCGTTTGTCCTGGTGCTGCTGCTCATCTTGATTCGGTCGCTCTCTCGCCCCATACTCTCCTCTTCGCGCTTAGTCTCTCGTTCCTTTAGCACAGCCAATTAGGAAGGTGAGTGAGCCCTCAACCTGAGCGTTTTCGACGGATTCTTTTCCTTTTTTCTTCACTGCCGGCCCACTTGGCACCGATACATTCACATTCGTGTGCAAGAGCCACACCAGTGCGATCCTGGGGCATGCCTTTAAAGGACGAATTCACGATGAAAAAGCAACCCATTTCAAATTAACCTAGGGATGGTGAGTGGTACACGAAAGAAGGAAGAACCATGAGAAACGGCCCAGAACCCGAGAAATGGGACCCCTTCCTTGCCCGTTGATTTGAGCATTGATGCGACTCTCATCGCTGTGCCCTCTTCAACACTACGCTCTCTCAGCTATCTAATCACTCGCCACGTATTGAACTACGGCGAGTGATCAGATGATCGGTGGGCGGAGATCGCCGGACCCGCCAGCTTTGAGGCATGATAGGTCGCCGAGGTCAAATTTTTCCATGCGAATTGCGCGTCAGTTCGCACCCTCAGGAGGTCCGTGGGTCCCTCAACTAGGTCAGTTTCCCTTTCTTCGACCTTCATTCTAATCGTGAATTCCTCCTTTAATGACATTGAAATCATCATGATCCGAAGTGAGCCCGGTAAGAAATTCTGGAGTTGCGGCAAGATTTCTTTCCTCTCTTAGCGTAATTCCCCTGGTCGAGCTATAAATGACTGCCACCTATCCTGGACCTTAATCATCATCTTGATGACGAAATAATTAGACGATCAACTCCAACTCGAAAGTGAGGTCGCCTCCTTTCTCGACCCGCACTCCGCTGGGTTTTGGCAAAGGAGCATCAAGAAATTTTCTGAGCGTTGAAGACAAGTGGTGGACACTCATGGTAGATATAAGACCGGTCAGGAGTTGTAAAAAAAAGATAAAATTAAAATCAAAAATTGAAAAAGTGTTGCAGGACTTTCTTTCCAACCTAATATTTTTGCGCCACAAAGGTTCAAAGTAAATTTTACACCGTATTTTTCCCCTAATGTTCCTTTAATGGACAGCGCAAGCCCTCTCGTACTGCCTTCACCGTCTTCAGGATATGCCGTCGTCGTCGAGTTCACGGGAACCTCCCGTAGTTGCTCCAACCTCAAGTTCTTAGAAAATTTCTTAAAGGAAGCGATTACGATAAGGAATTTTCGCATCGGGGGAGAACCTGCGCCACACGGAGCAATTACTTGGCTGCCAAGGAAGCGATGTGTGGCCTCCCACGGCGAAAGGTGCTGTGGTTGCTGAGCAGGACCCGCGTGACGCCCGCCCCCAGTGACGTGACGCCCACTAGTTTTGTTGATGATCTGGATGGACTGTTTGCTGTTGGCTTTTCATTTTGGATGATCATTTCCCTTCTAGCGGCTGTATCTTCCAACTTGCCCACGTATTGCCTTATCAATCAAAACACTATGCTTGTTGGCATGATGGCGGCTATCGGGGTTAACACGTCCGAACAACGTCGTTCTTTACCGTCGCTCATCCATGGTCGAAAATGAAAGGGCAATCAAAGGGGTACTATTTTGCTTATTTTTGACGGATTTCTTTGCTTTTTTCGCCATTGGCGTACTATTGAGACCCCCACGTCCCCTCTAAACCCCTTTGAGATCTATCGTAATCGCTTCCTTTAAATCGATTCACCGTTGTGTATGTAGCCTTGAGATACTTACTCCAACTTACTCCAACTATGCAAACTCCCTCCGGATTGAGTTTCAGGAAACATCGTAATGCCATACGATCCATCGAGGACCCCAATGAGCTCCACCTGTGCCCATGTTTTCATGGCAAATTTGTTCGATGTCGCCCACATGGAAGGCCACTTTGACGTTTTTTTTTATCAAATTAGAAGTGCTTTTTAATTTATGTTGGGAGTATTCGATTTGAATTCAGCAAGGTATAGTTGAATCCAATTGAATATAGAGACGACATAACTTTTTTTTTATTCCCCTACCCCCCCCCCCTTCCGTAGAGGGGTGGCCAAAAAAGACACTTAGCCCATGGCGCACATCATCAAACTTTTCATCGCACAGGGTGCCGCTGTTGATGAAAGTTTTACGGCAAATATCCCTTAGATGTCCTCCCATAAGTAGAAGCAGGCCCTCCTCCACTGCCCTCACCGTCCTCAAAATATGACGTCATCTTCCATCACCGTTGAGCTCAAGAAGGCCTACCGTAATTGTTCCATTCTGAAGCTGCTACGAAATTTGTTTCATTTCGGTTCACTGGCATGCTTCGCAGGGACAATAGAATTTGATATGTAACCAGCGTTTCAGATAACGTCGTAATGATCCATGATCAGTCGAGGACCAGTTGAGCTCGAACCGTGCACAGGGTTCCCATGGCAAATTCTTGTGATGTCCTTGGTGCAGAAAGCTATTATAAGGTTTACTTGATAGATTGGGATGTGCTCTTTAATACTAAGTTGGGAGCAGTCGGTTTGAATCAGCAAAGTGTGAATTATGATTAATGCTGCCTGAAATGTGGAGTGAAGTGCCTCTTCTTTGGCCATCCCTGTGCGTATTCGATTTCGAAACTCTATTTATCGACCTAATGCCTACCTTTACACCATTATGGGCTGTATACGTTATTTTGCGACAGAGTAAAGCTCACCACAATTGTTCTTGTTTCCACGAATTCTTCTCCCGTCACTATAGTACCGCAAAATATGAGTACAATCTAGTGCAAGAAGAGGATTGTTTTCAATATGCACATCCAACCAATTCGGCAAGAGTGCACCATCTATAGACTCCAATTTACTGTTGTTCCATATCGACAGATCATATCCTAAGCGTAAGTGTTAACATAGTATAACATAATAATATAAACGGCAGAGCACATTATAATTAGAATGTTTACAGTGCATTCTAGAAAATACATTGCTTCCTATTGAAACATCATGCTAAAGTGCCATAGAAAAGTGAAAATAAGTTGTGCAACACATTGATTTGTCACGGTATAACAATAATCTTCTATCTTCTAAATCGGATTGCATAAGAAAGGCACATTAATAAATTGCCCGACATCTCAGTCCCTTTTTGAGAAGAGAGTCATCACCCACTTAAATTCCATTTGGGATCATAGGAAGCTCTGAATGTACAATTTCAACAAGTCAACCGATTTGCTAAGTGAATTTTCTATCGCGCTTTTGCATAGCAATTGATTAGAAGGTAACGAATCTTTCAGAACACACTGCAAAGCACTCACTACATGTAATGGGTACGCTTGCCGAGGCAAAATACTGGACAACTTTTCGAAATGGATGAGCTTTCGGATTCACCTTGATGGGAAAAGACAATTGAGGAATCGCCCACGGAAAGACCATGCTTCTACATATCTCACCCATAAATCCTCGGCTTGAAGCCCATCATTCATGATAAGAACGAAAAGTACAAAAATGTTCTGTTTTCGTAAACAATGCGAAAAACCCGAGGAGTTGTTACGCGTTCAATCCGCGTCGTACATCCGCCACAAATGTTGGCGATGGCAACGGTTTTACTTGGTTATCGGAATGCCTTCGCTAAGAACTATATTCTTGGCTTTTTTCACCTATGGCGATAACATTCTCTCTCTACTACACCCTACTCTATCGAAACTTTTCATCATATTCTCCGGATTCAAACGCTTAACCCGATCCTTTCAATGCATTAAATAGAGCGACTGACCAGTGCACTCTTACTTCCATGTGTTTCCCTGTTCGGCTCTCGGCTTATCTTCATCCATCTGAGTGTGTGGTTCTCGTAACTTCGTTTCTATTCAGAAAATAAATCTTCGCGCGTGAAACTTTGTACGTTGACTCTAGTGATCACAACTGACATAACCATCTTGAAAAAATGCAAAACCTTCCCGGGCACGATTACTTTGAAGTATTATTAAACTGTGTCGAACCCTTCGAACCCACCTATCCTGTCTAAGTTTGTTGTTATTAATCGTAAAACCCGGAAGAAGCTGAGAGTTGTGTATGTCGTGTTCACGACTTCCACCGCGCCATCGACCGTGCCGACATCGTAGAACGCACCAGCCAACTGCTCGTATGTCACATCAGATGTCTCATCTAGAACAGGGTTTGGTCGAAGGACGTCATGGTGCTGCGAGGAGTACCAAACGGTTTTTCGTGTGTTTATATTTCGTTTCTTTTCTTTTTCTTTCTACTTCTCGCTATATGTTCCTATCTGTTCCATTCTATTATATGACTCAAATAACACTGCTATGATCTATTTCAGTTTCGATCTTCAAGAAACGCGTCGTAAGACAACGAAGGATGCGCGCGTCCTGCGGCCACAGAGCTAAGAAAATCACGCTCGTCCCACGCGGCCATGGATGCCAAAACGCTGCCGCCAAGTATCAGATATAGAGGTCTCGGAATGGACGACGCACTCCTTCCAATTAGAGAGCAAGCCATCGAGGTGACTCATTAAGGCACGTGAGATGACGTAAAACAGTGACGATGAGAAGGTATGCAGAAAGTGTGTAGTTTTCATGAGAGTGGTAGGATAGTGTACCCGCTATATCGTATCGTACCGAGACGTGAGGATCTGGCGCAGTTCCTGAGGTAGTTTACACCACGCCGAGCGCGGACGACCAAGAGAGCTGATTCATACAAGAAGCTTTCTATACTTCTCTGTGCCTTAGTAGCCGTCTTCGATAATGGCTCTCGTCTGCATTCTGGTCATCTTTTTTGCGCTCCTAGCGCAATCTCAACAAAGTTTTTTTTTGCCTGCCTAAGTAACTGTACACGAGGTGAAACAGAATCACATGGGAGTCGAGGTGGCGGCTCTCACTGAGTCCAAGCACTGGAAGACAGAAAAGAGAACAAGTGCGAGAGCATACATGAGCTCAAAAGGTGAGAAAGGCTAAATCAAATAAAGTTGAGAAGACAAAGAAACACAACATGAGTTTCATCTATAACATCGATCGACAGTATATATGTATAGTCAATGCTATACCAGGACTCCTATCCAAGGGTCTAGATGAACACGAGGTATCTGGAAAGTAGAACTAACTCTTAAAACATGCCATAACAGAAGTCGTACGCGCCCACACCAACTTATTTAGGTTGATTCACGTGGGAGAGAAAAAAGTTGGGAGGCTGGTAAATGTTGCCTTGTAACAGAGATGAGGTCTCATGGCAGGTCTGTGCGTCATGCCTAAGCAAGTGTGTTTTAAAAGCAAAAGATGGGAGATATGAAGAATGGAAACCAGTACAACGACTAAGAAATGAAAATAATAAACCAAGGATGTGGTGAAACATTACTGTATTACAAATCACCTTCGCAGCGACTAAAACTGCTCGAATTATCATCATAACCGATAAAGGATCACATGAGGTCACCAGTAACATACGGCTGTTCTTTAGAATACAAGAGGAGTGGCTAAGGCAGGCCGCCGAAGACGTCGTCAATCCGACGGGGAGGGTGTTCAGAAGGGACGGCACAGCCCCTTTCAATTAATAGCGACCTATCAAGGTGTACCCGTCAAGACACGTAAGATGACAAAAACCAGTAACGATGAGAAAGGATGCAGAGAGTGGTTGGTTTCTAAGAACGCTGGTTCAGACAAGGAGTTTTTGCCCTCCTCTCGCCGCTCTCCGAGTATCGCTGGCCTTTTGGCATCCTATTCATATGCGTTCTGTTGTTGGTGTAATCTCATCAAACTTGCTCTTCATTGGCAACAGAACGTTGCAGTATCGGGACTGATGAAAAATCTTAAAGGATCGCTGGATATTCAATTCCACTTTTTCCTGAAACTTTGGTCCTTACCCCAATATAAAAGTGCTTTCTAATGTAAAAGAGAAGCCGATGCTTCCAAATAGAGTTGTGGGTAACAATGACAGACTAAACGGGAAGTGTGAAAGTGAGATTAAAAAACAAAAAAAAACAAACGAAATTTCCACTAAACTTAAATCCGTATTGTAAAAGGAGAGCAGGCAAGGGGATTACCTTGATTGCAATTTCTGAAGAGTGGTCGATCCTCTTCCCAATAGAGAGGGAGATATTATCTTACACTACCAAATTTCATTGGTATCTTCATATCTAACAAACCTATTCGAATCGACCCAACAATAGAGTTGCAGCTTCTGTTTTCAAGTGCCGCTATCGTATTGGAATTGATGACATGTGCGGTAAACTCGCATTCTGAATAAAATCGGATTACCAAGTTCATAGCAGATTCAGCAGAACGTCCACATTTTCCAACAGTTTGTAGAATTTGAACTCACCAATCGAATCAGTGTCTTGAACGCTGCTCTCCAACCAGTTGAACAGTAGAAAATTCAGTAGCATTCCAACACTAAGGAAGAGGAATAAAGGTTTATTCCACGATAGAACTGATGTGATTCTTGCATACAAAGTTGAAAGGGTGCAAAGCGAAATGTGTAGACGGTCTATGGAGTTATTTACTTTCTCATCTCAGATAAAAGAAAACACTCCCCATCTCACTCAGCATATCGCCGTCGATATCGCCTATCTGAGCTCCTTACCCAGCTAACTCTGTTGATCAGCAACATTGGTAAAGTTATAGTTGACACCGAAGAAGTGCTTCGGCTTATATAATCAGTGGTGAACTCCGATTGGAAATCATTCATTCAATAGAGGAATTAAGAGAGGAATCGATCCAATTTGTCTGAATCAGAATTTTTCGGCATTTGCTATGGTCTCTCCTTATTTACGCTATGGTTTCTCCTGCTATGGTTTCTTCTTTTGACACAGATATGATTCTGGTTTCGAATTATATAAGCACGAGTAGGTATTGAAAGGATGGGTTATTTTGTTAAAAATTAGGCAAGGAGTGCAATGAGGAACATTAGTGAGGAAAAAGCAAAAAGCACCATAGAAAACACTAAATTTCCCTTAGAGGCCGGCCGTGGTATGACGGAGAGACACAGCGCTGCGAGGAGAGGGAGAACGCGAGATAGTACGTCGTACGCGAGAGGACGCAGAGACCACGTATGCCGTGGTTGATAACGCTGGCAGCAGGGCAGCAGATTAGGCAATTCATTAGCGCCATTGCCTCGCTCATCTATAGCGTAGTATATCCACTTTATGCTTACATTTGCTTATGTTCCACACTGAGACAAATACAAAAGTATACGATGGCGAAATAAGCAAAAATTGCAGATACAAAACTGAGATCAGAACTGTTTATGGTAAATAATTAGAAAAGATCATAAGAAATTAGGCAAAGAAGAGAAATTTTCCCAATCAAACTGTATGCAACCATATTTAATTATCCTGCAACGGCTTTATTATTACAATTGAAAAATATTTTAGATTAGCCGATAAGAAATTTTCCTTTTGTTGTAGTTCAGTTGGACAGCGAAACCACCAAAACTTCAGCGTCATCGACGTTCATGAACTTATTCATCTCTGAGCAACGCTGACCGGAATGAACTGTCATAGAAAGGCACCCAGTATGTTCTAGTCGGCACGCGACGCAGAACCTCTGTGTCCTATTCTCCCATGTGTGTTTGAATTTCTGCATAATGGGGGATTTGCGCTTTTGTATTATTTTATACAATAATCTACAAGGTACAATGACCTCTAAATAGCGCAGCTCCTTGTTGTAGAATTAGTTGCCGTTTCACTCAGGACTATTTTAGGTTTGCTCACGAAAGTAACCACAGTATTTGTAACCACGCGCTATGTGGATGGGTTATTTAACTGACATTGTCACACTCTTGGCATGGAATCAGGTGGACTCTAAGGCAGTAACCTTATGCAATGGAATTTCAATTCAAGTCATAGAGCTGTCTTGATGCGAAACTCGTCCAGAAAGATGCATAAATAGTTATGTGAGAGGTAAAAAAAAGCGCTCGAAAACGGTGAGTTTGTCAGGGCGGGAATACTAGTTGCTGAACGGCGGTCTTAATGATACCTTTTACTCAAACGTTTTCATTATTGGCCGCGTGCGCTCAATTACTCGTTCCACGAAGCCGTTCTATGACTTACCAAATAACTTCCTCATAGCTGAATGTGTCATGTAACAGATATATCTCTCTGAGCAATATGTAACCAGTGGGTTTGTGTGAATATAATCCTTGCGTTGAGTTCTGAGCACCAAAGATCTTGATAAATCCTATGCTGAACTTCCCAGATCTTTGGTTACAAAGTTCACACAAAAGTGAAAGGTATGATGCATCAGATTGGCACTGATTTCTGAACATCTTTGGTTGTTTTTTGATTGTATTTTTTGTAGCATTTTTCCATTTCTGTCAACTATTCCACGTATGCACTACCACTCAATTAGCAACATATTGCCAATGTTCCAGTGCCTCTTTTAAAGACATCCATCGAGTTCTGGTCTAGGAAAATTGAATGTCGACCCCGATCACGGTGCATAGATAGCTCTTCCTCCCAATACCTGAACTTTAGAAACTCGAAAATGCGCACGAGGTGGATATAAGGCGGATGTGAAGGAACGCTCTGTCCTGGAGATTTCACACTTTGAATATGCCTAAGAAAGAGGAAAATTCTCTACTTTTTTCTCCTATCTCACGCCTCACACTTGCTGTCAGGACGGAAAATGGCGCAATTTCATAGCTGCAATAGGTTTTTACTGCCAGGACGCGCAATTCTTCTACGCGTTTCGCATCCAGATGCTACTTCCCTCTCAAATTTCTTCATTTGATTTTCGTATCATAAAATTGTGAAAATTTTGAACTCTAAGTGTTCTTATCTTTGCTCTAAGCTGTGTCAGCTCAGGGAAGCCAACGTTTGCTTCTGTTTTCATAGTTCATGTTGTAGTGACTGCTCCAGAGGACATTCTTCGTTGAAATTACTCTTCTGTCTGTCAGCCGCTGCTTGCTATCTGGTCCAATGTGAGGGGAGCCTGTTCTAATTCACGTTATATTCTTGAAGCAGCGCGGTTTTTTCACAGTGCATTGTTGTTCAGTTTTTTGTTTTCATTTTTTCTATTCTTATTTTTCTAATCTATTTTTCTTTGAGGTGCTTGGTATAGTGCAATGGCTTCAAAGTGATTTTATGTTTAGGTTATCATCCACTTGTCGCTTTATGGTCCTTCATTGCACGGTAAGCCTGTTTTGCTTCTCATTTTCGTTGCTCACACAATTGCTTCAGTGCAATTTTCATTTCGTTTACTGCTAACACTTTTATTTATGATGCGATGCTCATAGCGTGCAACTGCTGTCGAAATTGTTCATCTTTAGTCGCTTCTTGCCCTGCCAGCTGGACGTGAGTGTTTGCGCCTCGTTTTCGTTACTTTATATTCATGGAGTGGCTTAGGAGTCCACTTTTTGTTGAGGATATCACCTGTTAGTGGATATCACCTGCTGGTCCTGTGTGAATGATTTCAAGGAGGTTCTACCTCACAAACTGTTTTAGAAGTCGTTTTTTGAAGAATTGCAAGTGTTCCGGTATTCTGCTTGAGATTTCGGGTATTTGAAGGTCGAAATTTTCGGCTAGTGATGTGATATAGTAGATGACAAATTTTTCCAAACATGGAAGTCTATCATATGTCTATCATGTGTTCCGGTATTCTGCTTGAGATTTCGGGTATTTGAAGGTCGAAATTTTCGGCTAGTGATGTGGTATAGTAGATGACAAATTTTTCCAAACATGGAAGTCTATCATATGGTAGCATATTGAAACAAGCAGCGAAACAATTAAAAAAACAAATATGATTAGCACCATCGGGATGCTCATCCAAGCAGTGCTCTTCATATTTCCTCTTTGCAGTTTGTTTGTATTTTATATTCTAACAGTAGGCAGACAAAAAAACAACAGCTGCAATTATTGCTAGAACTTTCGGCTTCACGATTTACTGATAACGCAAGTATGCTATGGTAAGCGGACCGTAAACTGCGTTGAGGTGAAACAGTGCTCTGGCGGGTTCGATTCTCGCTCGAACCGACTTGTTTCGTCCTAACTCGTAATTGTTGGGATCATTTCCAAGCGGCATAAACCTCCTATAAGACTCAATGTGGCTGAAAGATACGCCACGATTTCTGCTCATCACACGTTTTGAGACCGAACGTGGCTATACGACAATTTAAGCGACCGAAGAATCCGGTAATGATTACCTCTCCTCTCGCCCCGTGTAATGCGCACCTGCTTAGAGGAGGAGTGCAAACTTCACGGCAGTAGGTCAGGACGATAAATGTGAAGCAGGCTAAACAAGTGAACCTAGGCATACATTTGCTCGGCAGGAATGTGATGTTGAACAACTCTATAAGGATCGCGGGGAGTCATCGAATCACCTTGTTTCGGGAGTTGTTCGGCTTCACGCGGATTCTCAATAGGAAGACGTGTCAGCTTATACACTGGCCGAACAAGAGGGGAAGGCCAGAATAAGGCGTCATTCTCCCGTTGCTTTGACTTCCCGGGAGTGACTGAGTCGATGGCACACCCTGTCGGATACAGCAATTAAGCGGAAGAGGGGAAGACTAGTATGTAGGAAGGGAGACCTTACTTAAGTATGAGCGTCGTAGTTGGTAAAAAAAAGTCTTAAAGGTGCGTCTCGGTGGATGTTATGAATCATTAATTGGGTCTTCCCCGGGTAGTTCACGCCCCTTTCCTTAGTGTCACATTACATACACTGCGACCCATAATTATAATTCCACCTACAAATTTCCATGAAACTTGCATCTGCTGACCGAGATAAGTTGAAGAATTTCCGTACCCGGCTGGATAAAGTTGTATTATTTTCTCACGATACGGCGCTTATCTCGGTCGGATAGTAATCAGGGTTCCTCCCAGAATCATATCCTGTAGCATCCTTGAGAAATTTGTTCGTTATGAAGTCACCCCGACAAATTCCAGCGTGAGCTGACACTTCGACAATTCCTGCGTCTCTTTTGCTAGGATTTTCCTTTTACGGAAGTCTGACAGCGGTTTTGCCTTTGCTATAAGCTAAGGAACTTGAATGGGTAATAATTTCAAAATTTGATTGGGTAAAAGCAAAATGCAGCGGAGAAACATGAGGTGGAACTATGATTTTGCGTCATAGGCAAGCGGGTATTTTCGAAAAAATGAGGATAAAAAATTGTTGCTTTCTCAAACTGGATTTCCGTGTTAATATTCAGATTCGCATTTATATGTGTCACAATTTGTCTGTAGAGCCTTTTTCAAAAACATCAAGTTTTTGGGAAATTTGTAGGTGGAACTATGATTATGCGTCGCAGTGCACACTTTGTTTGTTTTCAGTGTACATTAAGAATGCATCCATTCACTGGATTCTCAATGTGAACTTGATTGAAATATGACTACTTACTCTGATGATCTTTCAAATTTCTAATTTGCCATGAGGACAAATGAGAATGCGATGC